ATCTGCAGGACATGGAGGATTTTTCTGAAGGACGGAGCTCAGTTTAACTGTTCAGAACAAACAAGGGACTCATGAACAACCATCACAAAACAGAAAACAGTCGTGGATCATCCAGGTAACCACACACAGTATTAAGAACCAAGGGATCCCAAACTTTTGAATGGGGTTATTTTAATAATTTCAGCTATTTTTTTTTGTCTTGTGGAATAAATGTAAACATTTTTTATGTAAAATATCTTACTCAGGACTGTACTAAATAAAAAATAACATGCATTTTGTATGATCTCTCTTATTTTGTTAAAATTACTCACATTTTCAGATTCTGCAAGGGGTTCACAAACTTTCAAGCAGCACTGTATAAACACTGGATTAAAATGCTTTGATAAAATACCTTATCACAACCTCTGACTAAAGACTTTCTGTAAAGTCAGAAAGCCAGTGATATATCTTAGAGCTGAGTGAGAAAGTGTACTAGAAAATTCATATTAACACAGGGATCCAAGTCCTGAAGGGGCATGAACCCAACTGCATTTGTTCATATTTGCTTACAAAATAGTGTGTCCTTCTGAATCTCTTGGTCATATTGACTTCCTTTTCAATCTCATTTTTTTTTAATATTCCTAAAAAAAAACTACTTTTCTACATTAAAACAATGATCTGACAAAATTAATCATTTAGCAGATATACTTTTCCAGGCCTATTCATCACACATTAATTAATTTATTTAATATTTATTATTATTAGATATTTCAAGGTTTTAAATAGATTAGTCATTTTAGGTCTATACGAAAAGTTTTCGCAAGTACACTTGAAAAGTGATAACTGGTTGCTTGAAAAATTAAAATGACTCCTCATAAAACCAGGTTTTGGATTTTTATAATGTAAAAACTGACAGAGAATATAACAGGCAACACAATAAGATAAATAAAATTAGAACTAAAATTTAATATTAAAAATTTTTATAGACGATATATTTGGGTAAAACACCATTAACTGTTTTCCCGTTTACAACATACTGTCTTGTCATGCATTAACACACTGAAGCATGTGCGCCATCAAATATGAATCTGAAGCGCTGCATGTTTGCCGTTTCTAAATGAAATACAATTTTAAATATTCAATGATTATGGTAAATTAACAAAACTGAAATGATCTGAGATGTAATTTGTGATGTTATGGCAAAGACTCGCGCAAACTTAAGAGTAGTTTCTGACAGTTTTTAAAAAAAAATCTTGTACATAACATTGTAGGCTATTCGTTTTGTCAATTTAATTGTACAAATCACTAACGTATATTATTGTGGACTGACCAAATATGTGGGACCGCACGAAAGATTTAATAAAATTTTCTGTCTCAAACATTACCTTCGGATGGCAAAGGCTGAGGAGGGTATTAGCTACCACAGAGATGCTTTTTACAGTAAGACAGAGCAACGATTTGACGTGTACAACATAAATAAAACACATAGATTCAGCACGACTGAGACTGGTTTAGTCCTGGACCTTTACTTTTGGGGGTTTTGAGTAATAACTCGTTATTCTCGGCTCTCAGTCTCTCCACCTCAATCTCTAGTTCCCGCACGCGCAGAGCGCCGGTGCCGTCAGCCGGGGACTCGGGATTTCTCCGGCCGTGACGAAGCCAGTTGTTCTCCTCCTCTAACCGTGACATACACTTCTCTAGCTCCAGGTATTCCCTAACCAGTTCTTGCTTAGACATATTTTGGAGAGTCTCGACGTGGTACCGCTCATAGGTCTCAGAAAAGTCTCTCTGCAAAAACTCTCCGCTTGCGTGGCCGGGTCTGCCCATACCGTCGCTTCCTCCGCCACCGCCCCCCTCCTCCTCGTCCTCATCTTCGCCCTCAAAATTCTCATCTTCGCTGGCCGTGTCATCGGAGCGGATCGCCCCGGATTTTCTGGCGCCCAGCTCCGTGTTGAGGTCAGGTTCTTCGCGGTCGTGCTCCTCCATCAGAAACTGGGTGGTGTTATATGGGGCAACGGGCAGACCTTTGGCGAACATTTCGGCGCGCACTCGCGACGCACGGGCGGTCTCGCGTTCATCTAGCTCTTTCTTCTCCTCCCAGGTTAATTTGAAGTAAGGCTTCCAGCGGCGCTTCTTCTTGGAGGGTCGCCGCCGGTGTTTCTTCTTGCCCTGGCGGCCATCTGACAGCCCCTCGTTGTTTACTCTCGTGCAACCAGATTCTCTCTTATTATTTGTTTTGTCCACAGGAAACCCGTCATCACTTGCTACGTCGCCAGCCTTGGGCTCCGGATCACTCCTATCCCGGCCGCGGCACATAGGATGTGTATCTCCAGACACCAAACCCGGACAGATCTCCAACTGGTTTCTTTGCACTTGTTTCGAGGAGACACTTGTCAGACCATCCCTCTGCCGCCCTCTGTTGTCATCCTCCGGTGCAGCTTCTTCTTTAATAAGCTCCATAACTGTACACTCCCACCTGAAGGAGATACAAGTTTGTGATCAGTGAGATGAGTGACACCCTCCTAAACTGAGGTATGAATATAAATCAGGTTCATAAACGCTGTCATTTAAAACAATTCACCAAAACACTGAGGAAAAAAGGGAAATGCTTTTCCTAAAAGTGAACGAACATTTTAACAAACTGCAAATGCTAACAAACTCGCATAAGTTAAGTCTGAGTTACCTCACCGTTCAACTCCAATCTCGTGTTTGAGTTATTATGCTAAGACTGTTAATGTGAACTCTTTCCGTTCCCTCTACTATTGACTTGGTTTCTTGACGGGTACGAAAACATTTCCCTCCAGCGCAAACTCCAATTCGCTTCTGATATGGAGAAGAGTGGGGCTTGTGAATTTATTACCTCCCCCACGTAAAGGCGCATGCGGCCAGTCCTCCAGGTTTTTCCTGCTTTGTGGGACTTGAAGTCCCGCTAGGCATTTGCACGCAGCAATCTCTGCCATAAAACCTCCATTACCCACAATCCAACAATTGTTTTCGGTCCTGAGCGGGCTACGCCTACTCGCAATTTTCACTGGATAGAAAGTTTTTTGTGCGTTCACTGTCCAATCGAAGCATTCTGATTGGTAGCTTTCATTGTCAATCAAAAAGAAAGCTGTCCCGGTCGCTCTAGTGGACGCTACCAAGCATGTCCGAAGCGGGTAGAAACATCCGCCCCATTCTACGATGCATTAAACGTTCACCTATTTACAAAGAAATAACTCTAAAAATTATGTTGACGCCGCATTGCATTTACAAAGTACACGTAGTATACAATATCGCGTTTGGTTATTTTGCATCTCTACCCTAACAATTAAACACACACCCTGAGCCCTTGTGAGGATTGATCACCCCTCAAGCAAAAAAGTAGTTCTCATTTCAAGCAGTATGTTCTCAATTGAAAGTGAATTGTAACGTATGTATCCATGATGATAACAAACGTAGAGGTTATAATGACTGAAGTATTTTCCCTTGTTAAAGTGAAATGTCGCAACATAAAGTAAACGTCCTTGGGTTGTTTCTTGCATTGATTAACAACGATGAAACGAAGAAGCGATTGTTTAGTAACCTGATTGTTCGCTAGCTAGCTAGCAGGATAATGGAGTTTAGATTAAGTAGCACAAGCAAACTGGTTAAAACTGAGACTAGCCATATACCGTTAAACCATTTTACCTGCATTTCACATATAGACATTTACATACTCGGAATTTCCTGTAGTCTCCGCTAGATATTTTATTACAGATGGATTTAGTGACTATAGCTAGATGCCTTTCTTGTATTGGAGAGATTATAGATTTACGCCTTCACGCTATTATCAGTTGTTTTAGAAGACAGCAATGCATTGTCTCTTCTCATTTATAAATGGAAATGCTTAGGTTTGAAAAATTAAAACCCGTTTCTTGACTTGCCCAGAAATTAACTCGTGCTAGGGAAGTTAGCTTGCTCCCTTGCATCTGTTAAACGAACCAATGCGAAACAAAACAAAACAAATGGCCTGTTCGATATAATTTTTTCCACATTAAGTTTCCAAAAATTTTTAGACCATTTTGTCGAAAAAGAATAAAAGCACAATTCCTAACATATCAGTGCTAAGAAATCGTCATACAATTACATACTGAAGGCATTTACAAAACAGACTTTGAAGGGCCAGAAAGAACTATCACGATTATGTTGTTGTGGACAGCAATCACAGAAAGAATCGAAGAGTCCCGATACTTGGTTTAATTCCGCTGTTGTTGAAGGGGCTGTACATAATTACCTAGATGAATGCACCTAAAATGAAACGATAGCAGTTCCTGAAGAGATGGATTTAGTTTAATTTACTCCCCTAGATATTAAACGAATCTAGTACCCATTCAACCTGCACAAAGTAAACAACCCAGCAAACATAAGTTCTGTCTGTGAACAACTGCTTTAAAATTGCACGTTTAATATATATATATTGTAACCCTAATGTGTATTTCAATTGTAATATTTCTGTAAAGTCTACGGACAGAAAAGTGGACGTTTCTGTAGAATGACCCATACACACACACACACACACACACATATATATATATAATATGCAACTGTTTTGTTTATTTGTGTTTTCTCTCATTATCTAACAGTCAGAATATGCTGTTGCTGGTTGCCACGTGAAGGCTCCTGTAGTTAATTAAGGCTTTTTTAAAGATTGTATAACTGACTAAAAAAAGTATGCAAAGTGCTTGGCATCCTGCAAGTAAGATCACCAGGACTGTAATCTTTGTTAATTTATAATTAATTTTAATTTATGCATTTAGCAGATGCTTTCATCCAAAGCAATTTACAGTGCATTGAGGCTATACATTTTTTACCAGTACGGGTGTTCCCTGGGAATCGAACCCACGACCTTTTGCGCTGCTAACACAATGCTCTACCACTGAGCCACAGGAAGAATATTTTTGTCTTATCTTTGTTGTGGTGCAGATGGCATTTACAAGGTCAGCCAAGTCAAGGTTTCAACCATCAGAACAGAGCTACTAATAAACATGACTTATTTTCAAAATATGATGGTACGTATATTATACATTATTGACAAAGTCTCTGCACACAGCTACATTTAACCAGAATTACGTGGAACACATCATGAACATTAAATTAAATAACTCCAGGATGTCTCTGAGAACTGCATTCATCTTGTTCATACAAGATTAAATAATCTTTAGATTTATGAGATTAGAACATTTACTCTCTTCACATCATGCTAACAAAGTGCTACACTTGAAGCACCAAACGCTAGGTCACAATTAATTAGTTATCATTGTGACGTTTACTTTAATTTGAACTCAGTACAGTAAATTCATAAGTACATATTAATCTTTCTCTTCCTCCATCTCAGCAGAAACATCAGTGCCTGAGTCACAAAAGGCCACACTAACAACAGCAGCAATGTACGTCCAGAGATGTCAAATGGCCACCATTTCTCCTGTAAAACAGAAATTAAAATATTAAAGAATTCTCTTTTCCACACATATTTGATCAAAACACACACACCATATGATTGAGAAGCGGTGACAAGCAGCAACTGAGTCTTGAAATACATACCAAGTCTGTCACATGTTTTACCTCAGTCTCTGCAGCTGTCAGTTGTAAATGGGATCTCCGCTGTGAACTTTGAGCCTTAAAACAAATATACAGATACAAATAAAATAAAATAAAGACACGTGAATTTTTATTTACTTATCAAAATCACTAGTGGTGGAAATAATAAAAAATAAAAGATTAATGAAGAAAATATTTTGCGCAACAAATAAAAAAAAAAGTATAATGACATTTAAAGTTGCATAACATTTATGACATGCCATAATAACATCTATGGATAATCTTTCTGGCAATCTAAATGTTTATACTTGTGCTATTGCTTCGATTCTTAAAACTTTTCTAATTTTTTTTCTTATTTTTTTATTTTATATTTAAATTAATATTTGCTTACTGAGACCATGCAGAGTTCTGTCTCTTTTCTTTGTACTGCTCAGTATATAAATAACAAATAACATCACTTCTCTGGCTTTTATTTTATCTAGCTTACTTACATTTGCAGTTGCAAGACCTTCAACCACCTCTAGTCATTCCATGACGCTCTGCATATCCTCTCTGAGTTGCCGTATGGCTAGAATAATCTGCTGCTGCACCTGGCTGTTCTGTAGCCTGTCAGGACCACCCTCAGAATTGTCTCTGCCCCCTTGCCCTGAACCAGCCCCCGAGGCAAGCCGCTCCGCCCACCTAGCTTTGCGGGGAGCCATATAACCTGGAACAAAAACATATGCATACATAGTATTTTTTGGTTTCAATGTTGGGGATAACACCCACACTTTCGAGATCACCCTGGTCTGTTTGCACTAATAATGTGATGATAAAGATATTTTGATTGAATTCTTCTTTAGACCTGAAAGCAATTTCAGTTCTTGAGTATATACCAAATCAGCTTATTAGAATGATTTCTGAAGGATCAAGTGACACTTAAGACTGCCATAATGGCTGCTAAAAATTCAGCTTTAGGAATAAATTACATTTTAAAATATATTAGAACATAAAAAAGTTATTTTAAATTGTAATATTACAATATTACAGTTTTTATTGTATTTTATTCAAATGAATACAGTCTTGGTGTGCATAAAAAACTTGGTCATATGTATATGTTAGTCTTAAGGTTGTCTATAAGCCATTGTTTTCCAAAACACTGACACATTTTGCATTTGGAAGATATATATTCGACCAATATGGATCAACAATTTTGATGACATCATTTTGCACTTTAGCTTCTCATTAAATTTTCTGTCCAATCAAATGCTCTTGAGGGTCTTGAAGCATCCCGCCCCACAATTAAAAGAACCAAAGACTTAAACTACTTCAGTCTGTGTGCATTGAATTTATTTAATACACGAGTTTCACAATTTGAGTTGAATTACTGAAATAAATGAACTTTTCCACGACATTCTAATTTATTGAGATGCACCTGTATAATAGACACTAAAGCTGCTGAAATTGGTCAATTCTTCACACATTCATTATGTTATGTATGATGAATGGCACATAGTTCACTATATAAGGGGTAAGGAGTGATTCAGACAGTTTAAACAAGCTTTCCATCAAAGCACGCACACAGAGTGCTCGGGTCGAGAGACACAATATTGCAGAGCAGATAATATGTGGACCACAAAATGTATCCAACCCATTTGAATTCTACACAGTATGCTGCATTTTAAAGCGCAATGAAGGAGATAAAACATCAAACATTGGACATCCTCTGCATTCTAAACAGCAAATGTGAAGAACAGATTATAATGCTATTACTGAAAATTATAACTTTTTTTTTCTACATTTACATTTAGACATTTAGCAGACGCTTTTATCCAAAGCAACTTACAAATGAGGACAATGGAAGCAATCAAAATCAACAAAAGAGCAATGATAAGTGCTATAACAAGTCTCAGTTAGCTTAATGCAGTACACGTAGCAAGGTTTTTTAAAAATCCTATAATAAATAAAAAGAAAACAGATAGAATACAATAAGAATAGAGCAAGCTAGTGTTAGAGGCCTTTTTCACTTTTGTTAATTGTATAATAAATAAAAAGAAAACAAATAGATAGAATACAAAAAAGATTAGAGAAGCAAGTGTTACTGTAAAAAAAAAA